TAAAGTTCAACTACAAAAGAAAATCGACGTACAAATAATTTTTAATTTGGTGGCATCTAGGGTACGGTCTTTGACATGCCATTTAATAATTAATTCTCACAAATAATTTAGTTTATGATATTTGTGATTAATTAAACACATAATATGTGTTTCTAAAGTAAGAAAAATATGCGTTGATGAATGTTAGGAGGAAACTTCATTAAGGTTTCGCCATTTGTGGAATTTGCCTTTCTTCAATGGCTACCTACCATGCATGTGAAGCTCTCAACATCGTCAAGGTGAAAATTCTCTATTAGACTAACATTGGGTTTAGTTGAAATCTTTAAACTTTAAAACGTGGAAGATTATGTTCGTTTTTAGATGTTTAAAAATTAATGGAATCTTTTTCTTTTATTTATCGAATTGTGTTATTTGGGTTCTTATTTTCATAAGTAAAATAACTGAAAAGGCGACATTTTTCCTAGAAGGAGAAAACCTCATTTGGCACATTTCATAAATAAATTAAAAAATGTACTCCTAACATTCTTATTTCCATAAATGATGAACTAACAAAAGAACTTATTCTTAGGGATTATTGAAAACTAACATTACCATGTTTGTAAAGATTAGAAATATAATTATTCTTATGCACCGACCTATGACATTATTTTTAATGGAAAACATAATAGAGCAACCATGGCATACTTTCAAACCATTAACATTTGTTGTACATGAAAGTTTAGGGTGAGTTGGATCTTAAACAGTTTATTTAAAATTAAAAAAGTGTTTACAAAGGGACTTATACATTATTCATTAACATATTTCTCACATTGAAGATTTAAAGTCATGTCTTTATACACCTTAAATTCTTATTGAAGTTGTCGAATGATAGTCTTAATTATCCTTAGGATCAAATGACCTACATATAGGTTAAGAATAAAAAATTTCTTTCGCTTTCATCGCCTAAAGTTTTATTTAAAAAGAAAATTTTTATTACAGGTTTTTAGATATTCGTTATATTGAAAATATATTCTCTTTATGACCATCATTATTTATATTTATTTTCATAAAAATCTTTTGTTATTTTTTTTTTAGAATTTAAAATACTTGTTTGTTTAACTTAGGAGAATTAAAAGATATGGATAGTTAGACTATTTGATACCAGAGAGTGGTAATACTCGTTATAAATCATGATTTGTTAAACTTGTTTTTTTCGAAAATTAGTGAAATTTCTTAAGAGTACTTAAAGAAGAACTAGACACTGGTTCATTTTGGAGTGAACCAATAAAAAAACATTTTTCTTTCTTGTTATTGTTTTAAGGGTTTTCTAAACATTTTTTAAAATCATTATGCCCTTGTTCACTTAAATTGATTTGGGGTGAATGATTAAATAGATTTGAGAGGATTTTGAAGATAAATTTTTTGTTATTTATTTTAGTGAATTTTGGAGGTAAATGAGAGTAGATTTGGAAGTAAATTTTTTTAGTTTCTCACATGAATCAAATTCTACACTAATTCTCACAAACTTTACTTTCAAATCCACTCTCACTTATCTTCAATATCCACTCAAATAAACAACAAAAAATTTACTTTCAAATCCTCTCAAATTCATTCAATCACTCTTCTTCAAATCCATTCAAGTGAACAAAGAACTAAGTGTTAAACACGGTTAATTCTTACAAATAGCGTCTAATAGTAAATTATAAAAAAAAATTAAAATTTATTCAAAGTTCCCTTTTTAGAGTTTATCTGTGATTTCATATGGTATTGGGTTTCAAATCAGAGGAACCAATGACCTAGAAGAGGAACGAAGCCATCACTATCCTTGTTGAAAATGTCATCTGCAAACATCAACAAACCTTATTTTGGAGAAGAGGAAAGGGAAATCATATGCTTGCTTGTGAGAAGAGAGGGAACGGGAAATGTTAAATGAGTTTGGGAGATGAAAGGGAAGGAAAAATCTAAAATGTGTTTGCGAGAAGGGAGGGAAGGAGAAATTTGAAATTCGTTTTTGTGTAAGGAGGTAAATCGAAAATGTGAAAAGAGAAATATAAATTTCAACCGTAATATTGACTTAACTGACATTACTTGGAATAAAATATTATTTTTATAGTGTTCATTGACGGACATAAATTTTTCTTTATTTTTTCTTTGAGCTCATTAATGTCTGCATAGTGTTAGTGTAGTTCATATTACACCTTACATACGCTTTAGTGTCGTCCTAGTGTCAGTATGACAAACTCTAGTAGTATCACACTTTTGATCATTACTATTTATAGAAGCTAATTTCCATCATTCTTGTATTAGTTGGAGGAGACTAAATCAAAATTATTGTGAGCAAGAACAAGTTAAAAATGTTATAGTAAAAGTTTGTTAAATGTTCTAGTTAAAAACATTCTTTCGATGAGATATTTTTTTAAATAATCATAACATGTGTACGGACTCTCTCATGACAAGTTCTATGGAACATCATTTGTTTACGCAAACAATAGTAACCCACTTTTAACCTGCGATGGAACATTTATCTTTTAATTTGATGATTAGTAAGCGAAATTAAAAGTCCTTAATCATTCGTTTCAACTCTCCAAAAAGTCTAAAACCGGTCAATTTTGCTTCCAACAAAAAAAGGCAACACATTCCTCGATTCCCTGTGTTTGAAAAGTGATCACACGACAAAAGCTACAATACCAAAAAGGCAATAAATAGTTAAAGTCCCATCACATTCCAAACCTTAAATCGACACACTCACAAATTTCACGTACCAAACAAAAGATTGTGATGCTGAAAGCAAACCTAAACTTTATTTTGTGTGCTTCTTTCCTTCACGTCGTGTGCACTACATTACCAAAACAATAGAAAACGTGTACCCATTATTATTATTATCATCATCATGCTGCCGAACTCCTTGACCATAAAATGTTAATGCATGGTAGTGCCATTTTCATAATGAAAGAAAATAAAAAAAAAAAAGGGTTTTTGATTGCACTTTCTCTTTCCTAACTGGCCCGTACCGACTGAGAGACCTTCCGTACTCAGAAAAAACCCTAGAAAACGACAAGCAAATAAATTGTGGGTCCAATGGATTGGATTGCATGCATACATTGATTGCCCTAGAAGTGACCTCACATAAGAACCATGCATGCATTTGGGAGTTGAGAGTTAATGGAAAAGTGTCTGGTGTCATCTCGTTCATATAAACTAAACAAATGATGATAAGGTGTAACAATGGTGAAGATGTTGAGATTGTGATGGGCAAGATGAGGTATGGGAGAAAGTACACTCAATGATTTTATATTTGGAAGGTTGTTGGGTCAGGGGAATGAAGGCAAAATCCATGTGGGGAGGTGTTGAATTCATGAAATAATATATATTTTCTTAGAACTTATAATATATGATGAGTATATTATTAAATATCAAATTCCCTGTTTTGCTACAGGGAAAGGATATAGAGTGAAACTTCCGAGAAAACATTGTAGTAGCAGTGGGTAGTGTCAAATCAACTACCATATCCATAGTGATAGCCAGTGTTTGATAGCTGTTTTTTAGATCATGCAATAATATATGTCTTATGGGGTCACCATCACCAACTTCATCTTCAATCTTCAATCTTCATCCACTAGGATTAAGTCACCTTCGTATGCTACTTCGTACTACACCACATGATCCATTTTTTTTTAAATCATATCATCATCTTATGGTATAAATAGTCAAACAAAGAGTAAATCAGAAAACGGTTAATAGTTATTTTTATTAACGAAATTGCATTTATGCAATTAACAGTGAAAACATTTTTTTTCTCAAACTACACGACCTGAACAAGTTAACCTTTTAGCTTTAAGATGGATTTGTAATTTTTGTTCATACATGTGTAAATAATGAATAAGGACTTTCCCTAAGTTTCTTCCTTTTCCATATTCTATTTTTCTTTTCCTTTTTCTTGAAATAATAGTGAGTATAGATATACAAGGATGAAAGGACAAGATGATGCAAAGACATGATTTAATTCGAACTACCATCATAGATGCTATTTTAGCAAAAAAAATGAAAAACAAATCCTGCAGAGACAAGACCCATTTCTTCTTTGGACATTTTTCTGGTGAACTATCGTTACTATCACTGTTTGAGCTTAAAATAGTCCCAGTTGAGTTCTACTTTCAGCTATAAACAGAAAATGATTGAACACGACAAAAACAAAAATGGGATAACGAATTTTGATGGGAAAGATACGATTTAATTAAATTTAAGGTTGTTCAATTGGAGTCTTGCTGATATGGGGAAGGGGGAATGGATTCTAGAATATGATAAGTATTGAGAATTTGGTCGATGAGATGGTGGGGACTGATCATGCACTGCAACAGTACAACATACAATTGTTTTGAACTTGTAGACAATGCTTTGTAATTGTTTAACATGAGGGATGATGGTCTCTGGGATGAAAGAGAGGACTAGAAGAGGAAAATACATCCTTAACCTAATATGAGAAATGAGTAACCATTGGATATGATACATATGAATATTCTGTATGACAAGTAGATTAACTCTAGGAGGACTAGTTGGTTTTTAAGAACTAGTCTAAAATATCAAAATTCCAAACTCTCAATCATCAAAATGACTATTTACTCGATGTTGAAGAGGTAAGTCTAGAAGCGCAACAACACTTATATGTTTGCTAGTAACTCCTTTACATAAAATTTAAATACCAAACTTATTTTAAACTAAATAAACGGTAGCTATAATTTTTAATTAAAAATTTGTGGATATTGATACATAACTAAATAATTGAATCAAAATAGGGTGAGTCGAAGAATAATTCAAACTTGTTCGCAAAATCTAATTTCTTAAACTCAGCCCTTACAAAAGTCACTTTGAACCAATTCAGATTAATGGAACATAAAGGGTCATGAAGACCTTTTCAACCATATATCGCTGTAGCAAAATGCATTACTTCTGAAGATTTTATATACCATTGAAGGATGAAGTTCATGGACAAATGTAGTGAGTTAGGCTCAGTCGTTGGCCATGATAGACAATCATATATGATTAGACATCTAGATCAATTAAACTTCATAGAAAAACCTTCGTGGCCATTACAATTCATAAGAGGACAATAATAAATATGTGCCATCCCTAGTCCCCACCATAAGTGAAGTGATAACAGAACCTCTCTTTTTCTTTTTTCCTTTTGGAAGCTACCATATATGAATGTTTTTACACCATTTATTATTTGGGGGAGGGAGGTATCCAATGACTCAGATTATCCCCACAAAGGTTAGACATGGTTTTCCTATTGAGATAAGAAACTCAGTTCCGTCCATAATCAATTGGCGGCATCTAATGTGAAGCTTCGGTAAATGTACTTAAGGAACTTATAAGAGACTCGTACACCTGTATTCCCTTCATGAACACGGTATCTTTTAAGTGCTGCAAATGAAAGTAACAGGAATTAAAATACACACACACACACACACTAGAGTAACAGGCTTCATTGGAATGAAATGAGAAATGCAGAACAATGAAGAATTGAAAGAATTATTTAAACCTCGTTGTGATCATGAAGCAAGATGGGAGTATTTTTCATTGGGGAGAAACCGAGTACAGGAATTCCTTTCTGTCTGAGGTATCTTGCATCAGTTGTGGATGCAAGAATTTCAGGACTTGAGAGTTTTTCTCCAATAGATGTGATAGCTTGCTTGAAAACTGACCACCATGGATTGGAATCATTAGTTGCAGTCATTATCGGGCGTCCCATGTAGTCTCTGATGGGTCCTTTCTCAGTAATCTTCAAAATTTGGTTGCACAAAAACAAGACACATAAATCAGTCAGGAAATTAATGGCAAAGAAATGGTTTTATGTTTCAACAACCGAGCAACAAATGGCAATATAAAGGAATAGAATAAGACCACGTAGCATAAAGAAAAAGCTTACAAGCTTTTGTACTATTCATGGTGTTCATTCAATGTCAAATGGCACTACAGAGTGCCTAAAGCAAGAAAATCCTCTAGTAGGACAGAGGAAACGTGATGACAACAATTCTAAGGTTGAGACAGCTTAGTGTGTTTTAATACTTGTATAGTATTCATAACAACATTGCAATTTGCAGTTTTCTGAATAATTTGAACCTCATTTTCATTTATTGCGGGTTCATCTATTCAATGGCTTTGACAACATATTATTCTAATATAACATGTTCATGGACAGTTTTAGTACCAGAAGATTATTAGGGGCTAAGTGTTAGGATCCATTTGCAGGGCTTGGACTCTCCACTATAATACCTAGCCTTTTTTATACAGCATGAGGTTAACAAGGCGTTGGATTCTCAGACCACGTGGCTAGCTCTAGTAGTATGGTCTCCCAACATTTTTATCAATTGGCGTTAAGATTTTTTGCACAAAGGGTGTTAATTGTAAACAAGCAAGTCAACAGTGGAATTCTCACTCGAGACTAGTCAAATGGTTAGCACAAAGGCAATTTAGGCTGCAACCAAGAGGTGGGACTATAAGACCCAATTGCAATGTGGGACTTCAACCCTACATAAGAAGTCCGTGAGTGGGATTTTGCCCTGGAAAATAGCTAGCTTTTATGGAACTTATTAAGAAATAGACTTCAAATCTAACTCAATCCTACAAAAACGACTTGTAAGATGAGATTTACATCTACTTATATATTATAAACATGCCTTATCTTTTGTTGACGTGAGATTCCATCACATCTTGTCATATCGAGGTATATAAATCTCGAGTATGAGACTAGACATCAATGGATTGTCCAATAACGATCGCGGATAGCGGTGATGAAACAAATATATCCAACAAACAAAAAAATTTTCGCTATGATAGACTCTAACCCATGATTCTAATACCATGTTAAGAAGTGGACTTTAAGTTAAACTCAACCTTACAAAACTAGCTTATAAGATGAGGTTTGCACTTACTTATATACCATAAATTCGCCTTATCTCTAATTCCAACAAAAGTCACGGTTCTTATCATCAAGTTTTATAGTTGAACCCAAATGAAAATAAAAAGTCCACCCGAGAATACCATGTATCTAAAAGAAACAAGGCCCCTTGTCTATACTTTGTTTCCACTCATCAAGTATGGTTAGTGCCCTTGACCCTATCTTATGAGGGACCCTTGTAGTCTTTAGGACTTCTATGGTATGGCGAACATTATCCCAGAAATCGATTATTTCAAGCATTGAATAGAATTCCATTGGCACAAAAGCTCCAAATATCTTTCATATCTACAATATCCCTTTGCATTGCATAAAGAGTCTTCAAGATAATGTATTGACTTCCTTGTTAGCCTAAGATATTTCTGGTGGCAGTTTCTTGTGACCTTTCGAATGCAAAACACAGTTCTTAATCACTAATGTTCATCTTTCAGTACATGTATTATCTTCCTTTCTTTACCCGGGAGAAGCATAAAAACAGGAGTGAATTCTAGTATATGAACCAATGAAACCTTCCGTTCAATAATCACTAGAGACCAACTTTTGAGCCTTAGATTTTTCTAAGCTGACCTCTTCATATATAATAGCTTTAAAAAATCAAGAGTTAAAATTGAAAAAATTATATTTATATTATGAAATTATTTGGCAATTTTGTCATTTTATGACTTATGAAAGAGTTTTGACACTGTTATTTTCTATCTTGTGTTTTATATACGTTTAAATCTAACTACTTATTATTAGTACATGTTGAAGTTAATGCATAGCAATCAATAGGTATCTGTTGTAATTAGAGAAACTATCTATAGTATCTTCTTAATTAGAAAAAATATTAGAAAAAATATCTATAGAATCTTCCTCGTTAGAGAAAAATATTTGTAGGATCTTCTAGATTATTTTTCAGTATATTATTTCCTTATTTCATTTTTTTAGATGATTAGATTGCTACAAATAGAGGTAAGGAGAATGTAATTGATATGAATGAAAATAATAAAGTCACTCTCTCTTTCAAGTTCCAAGATAGTGAACTTTATTATGTATACCATCCATCACACCTACCTATAAAGTTCAGTACCGTAAACACTGGTATGGGGAATGGCCCATACACAATGCCCTCAAATGACGAAGGGAGGAAGGTACCATTTTCTAATGAGACGAATGTAAGTGTCATCAACACTAACTCCGAAAGAAGGTAAGTGTAATTTTACTTTTTAAGGATTGAAATTTACATCTATAGTTTTACCTCAGAAAATTTCCTCTCACCACAATATTTGTGTAGAAATTATAAGGATTAGAAGATTTGAAGTAAACAATGTTATAACTCTTTTTACAGAGTTTGTTATTTTGTATGTTGAGTCTGTTTTCTAAAAGCAGAACTCCTTTGTAAGGGATTATATATATAACCCTTGCTTCTCTCAAGTGAGTAATGAAAAATATTGATTTTGTCCTCTAAAGCTGAGTGTTTACCTGGTTGAAGTCAAAGTTTGACAATTGGTATAAGTTAGCCAGCAACAACGACCAGCAAGGAGCTTGAAAACCGCATGGATTCTTTGGTGAAAACTATGGTGGATTCTCAAGAATTAACCTAGAAAACTTTACAGACATTATAACATCGATTGAGGGGCAAGTCTCATCTATGGCAGCATTGAATTCTGACCGGCAAATTTCACCTATGCCCATAGTTTCTCAAGATTAGCTGCAATTTCCATCTTTTGATGGAACCAATTTCCGTGATTGGCAAGCAAAAGTGGAACAATTTTTTGAGCTGGAGCGCACACCTGTTGGTCAACGTGGTTGGTTACTGCTTCTTTCTATGGACAAGGCATTCTCATGGAAACGTCATTACATTCAAACAAGTGATTCAAAGACTAAACATGGATTCAAATCCTGCAAACACATTGGCAATAGATTTGATGATGAGCATTTGATGATCGAGCGGCCAGGCAGAACTCGGCTGAATAATGGGAAGGGGTCGTTAATTGATATACTTGAAAATTTTTGATAATCTTTTGGCTAGATCAAATACTGAAGAAAATAGCATTAAGTTTTTTCTTTCATGAATTAAATTTGGAACTGGAAAATTTTGTTCGTGTGCATAGACCAAATATTATTTACGCAGTATGTCTAGCAAGACTACACGATGAGGTGCTGCAAGAAATACAAGAGAAACAATGGGGAATGACATTTCATCATGGAAGCACAATTCCAATTCAAGACCATGTTCTATCCTCTTCAAACAATCACACACCGACAATTACTACACTAAAGCAAAATCCTACAGCTAAGCCTTGAAACAGCTTCTGCTGCTGTTATCAGTCTCCATCTGCCGGATCAGTTTCCAGAAAAGAGGTTGGGGAAATAACTTCTAAAGGATTATGCCGATTGTGTGGTGAAAAATGGGATTAGAATCATAGGGTTAGGTGTAAAGTTTGGGGGAAATTGAATGCAATTTTCTTGGCCCAAGACTACATGAATGATAATGGTAGTAACTCTGATGCTGATAATGAGCAAGATAATGAAGCGATACGACAGATTCTTGATCTGGTAAATGATTCTCTAGTTCACATTTCTTGAAATGCTTTACAAGGACTAGCTAGCGGGAACACTTTGCAACTGATTGGTTTGATCAAGGAACAAGAGGTTCCTTTTTTAATGGATATCGGAAGTAATCATAATTTTATCAGTGAAAAATGGATGAAACTATTGGGGCTAAAAACCACTTTCATTACAGATTATTTTTTGTTACAGTGGCTTCTGATAAACGTCTGAGAATTACAAGAATAAGCCCTCAAGCGACATCGAAATTCAATAACCACTTGTTCTAGGCTGATTTTCTTGTCCTGCCAAGTAGTCATTTTGGGTTAATTTTGAGAATGCAATAGTTTAAGACACTAGGCATAATTTCGTGGAATTGTGCTAAATTAACTGAGTTTTCAGCATCAGGGAGAGATGATTACATTACAGGGTGAGCAGAATATAAATGACAGTTTTCAGATTTCAGGAAATCTAAGGGTAGCGCAAGGGAAAACTATGTTATTGGTAATACAAGCTGCAGATTGATTCCTGGCCTCAGCAACGCAGCAAATCTCTGAATTAACTCCACCACAGAAAGTACAATTGGATACCTTATTACAGCAGTTCCAGAGTGTGTTCCAAGAACCTACTCAATTACCACCTCCAAGAAGGTATGACCAGACCATCAGATTATCTTAACAAGCGCTATTCCATTTTTGTTTAAAACCTTACGGGTATCATATTCAAAAAGAAGAAATAGAGAGACAAATACAAGCTTTATTGTCCACGGGGTTTATCAGAGAAAGTTCAAGTTATTATGCCTCTCCTCTAGTTTTGGTTAAAAAGAAAGATGGATCATGGAGAAGAACGGATTTCAGAAAGCTTAATGCTCTCACTGATAACAATAAATTTTCCATACCTTTAATTAAAGACCTTTTGGATGAATTGAATGGTGCTAGACATTTTAAAGTTGGATTTAAGTCGTGATTATAATCAAGTGCAGATACATGAAGACATTTATTAAACAACTTTTCAAACACAATGGATTGTATGAATGGATGGTTTTACCTTTCGTACTCAGCAACACAGCTGCAACTTCCGAGAATCTAACGAATGTATATTTCGACCACAATTGAGACATTTCATTTTAGTCTTTTTTGATGATATAGTGGTTTACACTAAGAAACGGGGGGATTATAGTAGGTGTTTGCACATGACTTTAACTATCTTGAAGAACAATTTGTTGGTTCCTAATCAAAAGAAATCCAATTTCTCTAAGTCACAGTGGGTCATCAGATTTCGGTGACAGGGGCCCAAACCTGATCCAGGTAAAATTGAAGCAGTCCAATAGTGGCCTCAGCCAACTAGTTTGAAGGAACTTAGAGTGTTTTACGGATTATCAGGGTACTATAGAAGATTTATACAGGGGGATGGGAAGATAGCAGCACTTCATTTATTTGGACTATTGCTAGAAACGAATCATTTTTCAAGTTAAAACAGGCTTTATCACAACACTTGTTTTGATTCTGCCAGATTCCTCGCAGCCCTTTGCTATAGAGATGGATGCTTCTGGTATTGATATTGGTGCAGTTTTAACGCATATATAAGCAAGGCTATGGGACCAAGGTATCAGGGTACTTTAGCAACAATCCTAATTTCGACACCTCAGTTAATTACTAAAGCAAAAGACTATTGGAAGGCAGATCACAAATTGCAGAAGACTGTAGATACCATCCACATGACACAACAACCAATTTACTTTTGATGGTGAAGTCCTCAGAAGGAAACACAAACTGGTGGTAGATAATAATGCGAAATTGAAGTCTAAAATTATTGAACAATTTCACGACTCAGCTTTTGAGGTCACTCAGGGTATGAGTTAACTTACAGAAGAATTAAAGAACAATTCTATTGGAAAGGTATGCAGAAGGAACTAAAAAGGTGGGCACAACATTGTCATATATGTCAGCAAAATAAACCCTTAGATTACCTGCTGGTATTTTACAACCTTTACCTATTCCTGATCGAGCATGAAAATCTATATATTTGGGTTCTATTACCGGTCTTCCTAGATCTAATTCTATGACTGTTATTTTTGTCATCATTAATTGATTAACTAAGTATACTCATTTTTTTTCCTTTATCTCACCCTTCTGAACCTGCAAAAGTTGCAAAATCTTTATGGATAATGTTGTCAAATTGCATGGATGGCCTACGGAAATAATTTCAGATATTCAATCTTTATGAGTCTTCTGGAACGAATCCTAGTGAATCGAATTTCAAATCAAAAGCCAATTTTCTTCACCACGTTCCAAAAGCTAAATAAGATTTTTTTTTCATGAAAAGTCTCACCTCATACGACATATTTCTAACAGCCGGTGCCCATTCCTTTGCAATTCTCCTCCTCATCTCGTCCGGGTCCGTCGTAGGCGTCAGCCTTAGATCAAAACCAGCCTCCGCCTCCGAAGGTTGCACATTCATCGCAAACCCCTGCACAAAAGCACATCATTCATTCTAAAACAACGTTCAATCAAATCAAAACCAAGCAAGACCATGCAATCCCAAACTCACGTCATCAGAAGTAACACCAGCCTTAACATAAACTGGATTCACCGACACAACCTCGCCGTTCAACGCTTTCCCAGCCTTAACCACGTCAAACTGGCTCTCCCGGAACCTACTCACAGCCTCCATACTCTCCATCAGATTCTCCATCGCACTCCCATCGTACATCCTCGCCCCGTGCCCGGGCATTCCCTTGGCCCGGATTATCACGTTCCACGGAACCCTGTCCGCGTAGAAAACCCTAAATTCGTCGCCAGGCGAGGCCTGCCCCTCGTCGAGCGCGAAACCAACGTTGAGGCGGAGGAAGTCATCGGACTCGACGAACTTGGCGGCGCCGTTTAAGCCGCCTATCTCCTCGTCGGGAACGAGGGAGATGTGGACGGAGCGGAGAGGAGAGAAGGCGCGGGCCTTGAGGTTGCGGATGGCCTCAAGATACTGGATGGCGATGCATTTGTCGTCCTGGGCGCCGCGGGCGAAAACTTTGCCGTCGGAAGTGCGGTGGGCGGAGAAGGGCGGGTGGAGCCACTTGGCGGGTTCGGCGGGGACGGAGTCGAGGTGGGAGTTGAGGAGGACCGAGGGGAGGGAGGGGTTTGAGCCGGGCCAGGTGAGGAGGAGGAGGGGCTTGCCGGGAGTGAACTCGAAGGTCTTGGAGGTCAGGCCCAAGGAATGGGCCTGGGTTTTGAGGAAGGAGACTGCGGAGTAGTAGTCAGGGGCGGGGTGGGCCGTGTTGATGCGGAGGTAGCGCTGGAAGCGCGTGATGGGAGTGTCTTCTTCTTGTTCTTGTTGGTGACTTGAGGTTGCGGTTGCCGTGTGGAGGAGCGAGGAGAAGAGCAGTATTAAATGGAAGAGTGCGAAAGCCTGAATGCTACTGTGAAAGTGTGGAGTAGCCATTGACATGGGACAAAGCAAGTCAACTCAGTTCCGCTTACACACGGTGGAGGATTTAAAATCAAATAAAGAATATCAGCCTTGGACCAGTTGCTAAATTTTATTTATATTTCAAATGATATATTTTAGTTTTAAATTAATGATATTTTATGTTAATATTTAAGTTATTTATATAATTTATCGTGTACTCTAAGATGCCTATGACAGTGTACTCTAAGATGCAATGCATGTATACGGACATACTGTTTATTGGCACCAACTGAACTGTTTTTATTCACTGTCTAATTTGACTACTTCACTAATGCAAAACGGAAAAGAAGTAAAACCCCTAACTGGACGAGTCAATATGCATTTATTAAACCTAGAATGTTATGCAGTGCCAAAATGTGAGAATCGGGTACAGATGCAATGGCTACAAACAGAATTGAATTCTCAGCCTAAAACCCAAACTGACAACCACAATATAGTAGCATAAAGGATGTAGATGTAGAATGCAGAACCAATGCAGAGTAGAATGATTCTAGAAACTACTTTTGATATGCAGAGATTTTATTTATTTTTATTGCAATACAGAATAGGTTATATGAATGTCACAAAATAAAAAGTGGGAATGGAATTTAGTATGGGTAAACCTCAATCCTCATTATTCAACCCAATAGTAAAAGGACCGTGTGTTGTTCAATTTATACAGCAAAGCAAAAACAAGAGATGATTCTATAAAGGTTAAATAACCACCCTAACAAACTAACAAATAAAGCAGCAAATATAATATGTGGTGGGGTAAAGGGAATATTGCTAGCTGTGGAGTAAAATAGAAAACATGTCTTTCTCACACCCTCCCTCAAGATGGATGGTGAATATTCACCAAGTCCATCTTGAATAAATTAATATTGAAAAACCCGGGATAAAGTGGCTTAGTGAACTTGTCTGCCAATTGATGTTTTAAAGGAACATGAGAAAGAACAATAAGTCCATCAAGAACCTTAGCACGAATGAAATGACAATCCACTTCAATATGTTTGGTGTGTTCATGAAAGGATGGATTCTTAGCCAATTGAACGGCAGATTGATTATCACAAAATGTAAGGAAAGGAAGTGGTATTTGAAGACATAAGTCATCAACAATGTACTTTAGCCATTGTAATTCACAGGTAATAGAAGCCAAAGCTCTATATTCAACTTCGGTAGAGCTTCTAGACAGGGTGGATTGCTTCTTCGATTTCCAGGAGATAAGACAATTACCATAGAATACACAATAACAAGTGGTGGATTTTCTAGAGATACAACAAGTAGCCCAATCTGAATCAGAAAAAGCTTGAAGTCTATGAGGATTTGTGGAAGGACAGAAAAGGCCTAAACCAGGGCATCCTTTGAGATATTTCAGGATCCTGAATACAACACTTAGATGAGAGGATATTGGTTTAGACATAAATTGACTAACTTGTTGGACAACAAAAGAAATATCAGGACGGGTATTTGTGAGCTACTACAATTTTCCAATTAATCTCCTATAGGAAGTAGGATCTGGAAGAAGATCACCATCATCATCTTTGAGCTTATGATTAGGGTTCGAAGGAGAGTGGACAGGCTTGCATCCAGTGAGACCAAATTCAGCAAGGATTTCTAAGCAATATTTTCGTTGGTTCAAAATAATGCCCTGTTGTGACCTAGCAACTTCAAAACCAAGAAAATATTTGAGGTTGCCCAAGTCTTTGTTTTCAATTTCTGATTTAAAAACTGCTTAACAACAACAATATCATCTATGTTATCACCAGTGAGCACTATATCGTCAACATATACCAACAGAGCAGTAAAAGAAGTAGCAGAGTTGCAGATGAATAAAGAATGATCAGTAGGGCTCTGAGAAAAACCATAGGAAATTAAAGCAGATGTGAGCTTAGAATTCCATTGCCGAGAAGCTTGTTTGAGTCTATAGAGAGACTTGTGCAGTTTGCAAACCAAATTAGGTTCTGGGAGGATCAAACCCGGAGGAGGTTTCATATAAACTTCTTCATCTAAATCACCATGAAAGAAAGCGTTATCAACGTCAAGCTGGTGTAAGAACCATTTGCGAGAAACAACAATGGAGAGAAGAAATCCGACTGTGGTTATCTTCACAACAGGTGAAAAAGTTTCAAAGAAATCCATGCCTTCGGTTTGTGTGAATCCTTTGGCAACAAGGCGTGCCTTATATCTCCTATAGACCCAACTGCATTCATGATATACAAGTCGCAGCTGCATAGTCAACCCAAATAATACTTGTAGCAATCTTATGAGAAACAGAATGATTGATCCAAGATAAAAACATATTATTGCAATGCTTCCATGCGGGAACCATGGGATATGTATCAGTTGGACAAGGAATGGAACCATCAACAAAGCCAAATTTATTCTTCATTTGTAGTGCCATAGACATCGAGCGAGCCCATCGTTGGTAATTGTGACCTTCAAGAATCAGAGAAACAAGCACCAGTTATGAGGGAGTAGCCAAGAAGGAGAAGAAAAGGCAGGAAAGCCAAGAACGAAAGGTAGAAGATGAAGATCTGGGCAGTAACATAATTGGTTGCGGAAGAACGTGATGAAGAATTAATTTTCTCCTGATACCATGTTATGAGAAAAGAAAGGATGAAAATTGTGTATCTTATTCAATGCACATTAAGAAGTGGGCTTTAAGCCTAACTCAACCCCACAAAACTGGCTTGTAAGATGAGGTTTGCACCCACTTATATATTATAATTTGGCCTTATCTCTAGTCGATGTGGGACTTCCAACACACCCCCTTCACGTTGAGCTATAAACATCTTGAGTGTGAAAGTAGAAATTAATGGGTGGTCCAATAACGGCCAGATAGCGGGTGGAACAGAATGCCCACATAGATCTCGCTAGGATAGGCTCTAAACATGGTTCTAATACCATATTAAGAAGTAGGCTTTAAGCTTAACTCAAACCTACAAAATCGGCTTGTAAGGTGAGGTTTTCACTTACTTATATATTATAATTTGGCCTTATCTCTAGTCGATGTGAGACTTCCAACACACCCCCTTCATGCCGAGGTATAGACATCTCAAGCGTGAGAGTAGAAATTAATGGGTGGTCCGATAACGACTCGATAGCGGGTGGAACAGAATGCCCACATAGATCTCGTTAGGATAGGCTCTAAACATGGCTCTAATACCATGTTATGAGAAAATAAAGGATGAAACTTTTGTATCTTATTCAATGATAAGGAGATAGTACAATTCTGTTTAAAACAATATAAAAACGGAATATAAATATAAAAACAGAATATAAATATATGAACATAAATGCACAAATATGAACGGAAAATAAATTAAATCCAATAAGCATTTCAAAGATTTGAAGTTTAACAAACAATATTTAACGAAATGTTTTTTTATAAATGTATAGCACTTGCACATAAGAACTCTCTTTCTAAAGGCTTATAAGATAGGCCATGATGTATTAAGCATAAAAGAATTAAACAAACATTTGACAAAAGTGTGTCTAGTTAAAGAAACCATAAATGCTATATCTTATAAATTCTCACTACATGAAAAATCTCATACTTGCAGTAAATTGTTATTATACGAAACATGTTTCAACACTATATCAACGTATAGATCATTAAATGCATGTACATATTGTATCTTGTTTGTTCTGCTTTTCCCTTCTTTATCTTTGTACATATTGACAACACCAAGATATACTAAAAAACACTGCACGAGGATTAAAAGATGTTGTGAGATAGGAAGACATTCCTAAAATGTTTCCCAAAGCTTTATCTCTTACCTTAGTCGTACAAGCTCTAATTATGAAAGCAATGTTGTTATTCCCAAGGCATAGAAAAGTACATATCTTCGTACGATAAGCCAACCACTCTCAACAAAGTCAACTATCTATGAGTAACGGTAATCTCTCGAAGAAAGCTATAAAAGGAGGATTCGCACAAGAGAATACAAGAACTTTTTCTATCATTGTATTGTTACACTGTTATTCTGTCATAAGCTTACATCATCTAAGTATGTTCATAGATTAAAAGAAAGAACTTCACAAGTTCTTAAATTTCTCTATATTGTATTTATCCTTTCATTGAGAGTTATTAGAATTTGTACTTTTAAACCAATGTTGATTAATACAATCCTTTACATAACAATACAACTTGAAAATAGAAATTATCCAAATCCAACAATAATGTAAAGGGTTTAATACAATCCTTTACATAAAAAAATAGATAAACTTTAAATAAAACGCTCATTGCCAAACTTATCTCTCTTTAATCATATTGTTCCTACAGCATCAACATTCCTATCTAAGCTCCCGTATAACACAAATATTATATGATCATCGCCACAGGCACAAACAAAGCAAACATATGTATGGGTAAGATAACATTTAAAACATATACACAACCAACAATTGAATACAATGGAATCATAAGAACATATCTAATTCATCAATCAACTACTCATTCAACAACCAATCAATCATCACCCATAACTCTCTTTCTAAATTTCCTCTTAGTGATCTTACAATATTAATTGTGGGGTGGTTGAGCAGTCTACCTTTACAGTACGAACCTGTCTCCCCTATTCCTTAAGGTACGAGTAAAAGCTTTGGTGCATCACACACTAAACATTATACTCAATGTTGATAGGAGGAGCAATATAAGTTCTAAACCCAATCCCTGATGTGTTTGGTTTTTTATGATGACAACACATTGATTGTAACAACACATATATGTTTTCATGACAATAACAGAAATGTGTATTTGTGATTGATACATATGTTGGTATGTAAATGTTTCTTTTTGATTGATACATATGATGATATGTTGTTTGGTCTGCATACTTCTATGATCATAATTGTGTTTATATCTACTGTATGCATACTAAATGTTTTTGTGTGATAAAACCACAAGCACAAAGCAACTCTGTATGAAATAATCATTTATAGTGATGTTGTAATCAATTAAGTTCATCCGATAGCTTATGTTTTAGACTATGGCAAAACAACAAGTTTTAACCGATTACATTAAGTGTAAAATCGATTAAATCTCGTGTCTTTGCAAACATCTTTTAGAAATGTGTTG